CGTGGAGTTCATACCATGTGGGACTGACACCTGTCGCCTTTTGTCTTCCAGCTCGTCTTCCTGTTCATTTATAGTTCCTGTGTGGTCTATCGTCCGCACAACCGCGTTTCGCTCGTTTATATGATTGTCCAATCTCGCGTCAGCTCAGGCGTCTTCGTTCTCCTTTCTCATTGGTAATTCAACTAACACCTGCGAATCTTCCAACTAGCATCTGCGGCTTCCTGAATGATCCCAAACCTCGCGAATTATAATCGCGGAATGTGTTCTTAACACGTTGACGACATTCTGAGCCACCGGTGGCTCATAAGTGAGTGGCCACGTGGGACAATTTGAGCCACCGGTGGCTCATAACTTTCTCCATCACTTTTCGGGTTATTGCCGGCAGTCTCAATCGATCTTTTTCTTGCTTTCAAAAACCTGTGAAAGGTTGAGATATGTTTGAATTAAAAATTGAAATTTTTCAACTAGCTACTGCTGCGGCAAACCTCCAAAATAGTTCTTTTTGGACGGAACCTTGGCTGCAGGGACTGCGCGGGGCTTTGATCATGAACGTGAGATCTTATTTGTCGTTGGCGCCATATGGCGCCAGATCTTATTTGTCGTTGGCGCCATATGGCGCCAGTAGGCGCCATTTCGGCGCTAGCAGTCTTTTTGGCACCGAATGCGATAGAAACCTCCATAGCTAGGTTATTTGACATCCTTGTCACGAATATCGTTGCCCTTCCAGTGTTGGCGCCACCTGGCGCCAGCGGGCGCCACTTTGGCGCCAGCGATCTTTTTGACACCGAATTCGATAGAAATGTGTCGGTGTGGCCGTCTATGAATCATTGTAATGTGTGAAAAGCAGAAAATTCCAAGAAAATTCTTAGAAACAGAAGTTATGGCACACATTTTGGAAATCACGATCGCGCTAAAAAGTGGGCGTGATCGCAGAGGGCGGGGCATGAGATGGCATCCAATAGGGTCAAGGATGGTTGAAATAGCAGTCCCTGCACGACTGACTAATCATTTTGCGAAATTTGACATAGCGGCAAAAAAGTGGTCCACGAGGGACAATATGAGCCACCGGTGGCTCAAAGCGGACGCATGCGAAAGCACGCCATTGTCCCACGCGGCGCTTTCCCGCAAAACGCGATTGTCGTCAACGTGTTAAAGGCAGTTGGCACGATAAATCGCTATACAGGTGTAGGATTTGTACAACTGGCTCAACAGAAT